ATGAGACGGATGTTTTTATGGTATAACTGGGAGGTCATGGGTTTGATGACGGGATAGGTCATGTATGTGATGACGGGGAGGTCATTTGAGGGGCTAGGATAGAAGCTCTATGGGAGTTAGGGCTTGTCTAGGTATCTAGGGATGGGGGGTCCTAAGGGGTTAGGACGGGTAGATCCCTAGATGGCACTGGAAATAGAGGTTTTATGTGAGTTAGAACCTGTCTATTTTCTAGGGGGAGTATGGAACAGAAGTCTTATGTGAGTTAGAACTGTCTTTTCCAGGGACTCCGATGGAAACACCCTGGTGTTAGGTTGTTTCAGATGACCTGGGATTAGTCATGAGTGATATTCTGGGTTAGGGAATATCGGGGTAGGAAACACCCTAGCGATTGGGTTGTTTCAGATGACCTGGGGATTGGTCATGAGTGATATTCCGGGTTAGGGAATATCAAGGATAGNAACCANGGAAGTAAATCGGTCGACAGGTGCTTATGATGCACGTTACAGTGTTACTGCTCCAGGGGATGGTGATATTCTTCTGCATATACTTTGAGGGATTGCGATCTCTCTAGAGGATGTGTGATTCCTCTACAGCCGAGAGCTGATGGACTGTGTGTTCTGAAGCGGAGGGGCTGGGGCATACCGAGAGTCGGTATGGTATACATCGAGAGCTCGATGGGTGACAATCCTGCGAGTGGGAGTGGTGTATAGAGATATGAGTTTGAGCAATGGTACCTGTAGTGTGATTATAAGTATGAGATTCGATGAACTTCAGGAATCGGGAATGATCTCAGGTGGTTTGTGGATGTCTAATCTAGGGTTNTTACTCGAGTTTGGAACCTTAGTTCAGACGACCCTNGTAAACATATGTAGCCTCTTTGGTCGTACATGTTCTTGTTTGATTGTTGTGCGACCAATTGATCCAAGGTCTAGGTCTACGGTGGGTCGGGCATGTTCTTGTTTGATTGTTGCGCGATCTATCGGACAACCCTGATCCGGATCAGCGGGTGTTGTATCGTGGATGTTTCCTGGGGGAATTTGGGCGGGTTTTGGATGAGAGTGTCAACCTTAGTGAGACAGGGTTAGGTAATTGAGATCGGGTGAGGATCTCTGATCATGGACTGACCGGGTTGGTCGGGATTGTATCCATGGAGATGGTGCAATGAGGCTAGTGTGAGCCTAGTAAGACTCGGGGATCGGGTGTGATCGCGAGTGGTGCTGGCTGAAGGCCAGGGGTTTTGTGCTGTGTACGTCGAGTCTAGGGTTATTATTGGAGTCTGAAATTCAGTTTGTATAATATTGGTAGCATATGTTACACCAATGGTCGTACAGGTTCTTGTTTGATTGTTGTACGATCATTTGGTCCAATGTGAGGTCAACGGTTGATCGGACATGTTCTTGTTTGATTGTTGGATGGTCAATCGAGCAGCTCTAATCCGGACCATGAGGCGTGCATCGTGGGTGCTCCGGGGGAATCTGGGCGAATTTTAGGCAAGAGTGTTAACCTTAGCAGGACGGGTTAGGGGATTCGAGCGTGATCTCGAAGGATACTGGCCGCGTTTAAATCAGGTGGTGAAGACCGTAGTATGACGGTGTTGTGT